TCACTGCTGGAAGATGGCAGGAGGGAGGGGCTACTATATTTGGGCAAAAAATTGCCAAAAATGTAATTAAAAAAAAAACCTGATCGTTACTCATCATTACTTGATGAGCGGACTTTTCCTTTAAGTGATCCAACACAGAAAGTAAAATGGACGAATGTTGTTCAGCATTTCTAACATTGATAGAACAGACCAGAATCTTAAAAGTGTGGATTACAGGGCGTGCTTCTGTGGCACAGTGGTTAATGCGCACGACCCATGAATGGAGGCATAAAAAAAACAAAAACAAAAAAAAAAGCTTATCTTAATACATCAGTATGAGCTGAAAAGTGCGGCTGGCCTCATATTTCAGACGTTAAAATGTAAAAGGCTGTGGAGGTCAGGAGCTCCTGCAGCCCGGCGGTTTGTGAGCAACTGAAGCAGAAAACGGGCTTTAATCAGACATTTATTTTAAAAAAAAAGGGAGAAACAAGAAGGCATGAGCAGAAAATTCAGATTTCATTTACATTTGAACTCAGAGAGACTGTTAAACATCAACAGCAATACAACCATTTACACAACCTGTACAAATAACCCCCCCCCCTCGGTAATTTGTAACTTTAAATTCAAAATAACTTAAATAGATTTCTAGGAGAAAGTGCAAATCCTTTCCGTCTGACAGGCTGCCTGGATGAGTCACAAGCACATCACGACATCTACAACAGTAATGGTGAATGCACGAGTTCCATCATGCTCGTCTATGATGACTGACTGCTGAGCAGACGTCCCTCTCATGCTCCTCGCCGCTGGAACGAGTCCTTTCCCTGAAACGGTCCCGTTTGCAGTCGCAGTTCGGCAGGAAGGACAGCGAGGCGGCGCTGCTTCTCCAGTAGTGTTATGAGTTGGCATTTAAAAATCGGTCCTAATGCTTTACTGGCTCCCCGCTCAGCCCTACATGCTTCATAACAACATGCATCTGATGCAAAAACGTAACGCCATCAGCAGGATTAGTGAGAGATTATACGGGGTATGGTAACGAAGCACAGGTCACCATGGTTACTACGGGGAAGGAGGCTGGAAATGTTGACTGATGAGAACGGTCTTCATGTAGCGGCGATGCAAAGAGGATATCAAGCGTAGAGTCTATGTGAGGGAGACTAGGACTTCTGCTCCGCCCCTGCTGCAGCCGGCGCCGTGCTCTCTGGTTTAAGGATCTGATAGGTGATGAGGTACTCCGGGTAGGCCTGAAAACAACATGGCAGCCGGTTAGCAGCTTCCTGCAGCACAGGTTTTACAGCATTGACCCAGAGGCTTCGGTTTACCTGCTCTCCTCTGTAGATGACGTACTCGGCATACGCCAAGCCGTTAACGCTGGGCCGCCCGATGACGGAGTGATGTCCTGGGGGGGCGTGGGCCATCTTCATGGCGCTGAACTGCAGGAAGGACTTCCCCAGAGTGACTCGGCAGAAAAGCATTTGCCTGTAGGTGAGAGAAGGAAGGTCAGACCAAGAACAGAGGGAAGACGAAATGTGAGGAAGATAAGGGAGCGTAGAACCTGTGGCACAGGTAACAGGATCGGTCTTTGTGCGTCGGGCATCCGGTGCCGCCGCCGATACCGTAGACGTACTGATTGCTCTTAGAGGAGTTCTCCGCAAAGTAGATCCCTGCTCCAAACATCCCTCCGATGTAAGCGTGGCGTTCGTCAAAGCCTTTGTGGATGATGGCGTTGATGAACGGAGACCCTGAGGATCAGAGCAGTCAGATGA